TCAATCAATCAATCAATCAATCAATCAATCAATCAATCAATCAATCAATCAATCAATCAATCAATCAAAAAAAAAAAAAACAGTCAATCAATGAATTTTTTTTTTTTATTTTTTTAATTTTTTTTGGTAGTCTTCGAAATCCACCCCCCCCGTTTTCGAAGTTTTTATGCTTTTTTTTTTGCGAGGAGGTAGGGGGACCCCCCCGACTCGAAACCCGTTCCCCGGCCCCCAAACCCCCTCCCCGATTGGCCGCTGCATCGACCGAAAGTTCTCGGTCGGCCCGGCCTCAGCCTGGGCCGAACCCGGCCGCGGCCAGCGTGCAACATAGGTCAGCATTGGTTTCCTTCACTTCTGGTGGAACACATGACACCCCCGCCGCCAAACAGTTTATAAACACAGTTCCAACGGTTGAAATATGGTGTCCACATGTGATCATCCTCTCACAAAATTTGCCACAATTTTTCTGTTGAACAACTGACTATTAAGCCGAAAGAAACCTTTCCCTCTCTCACGGCCGATCTGCAATCGCAAGTCTGTTACTATTGGTTTATGATCCGACAACGGGTCACACTAGTGACGGATCGCTGTCACCCTGTTCATCAATTGGTCGCCCAACAAAAAGAAATCCAGCCTTCTTGTTGTTAACCCCTGTCTTTCTCTGTAGAGATGAGAAACCCAGGTGTAACCCGGATTGTCTGGATTTAGCATCGGGAACGGATCTGCAAGGTCTAGCTCCGAACAGAAATCTAATAATGCTCGTACGTCCTGTCTGTATGTCGATGGAGATCTGGGACGTAGGGCCTCGTCAAGGGACAGATTCCATTCCCCGGCGAGAACCAGTTTCTCAGCTATCGGAACGTGTTGCATCAGTCTGTTGAAAAATCTTGTTCTCTCTCCCGCATTTGTCGGAGCATAGACTGTCATAAACACTCATTCTTCGTTACCCACCGCCACCTTCATCTATGCCCATCTCCCCCAAACGTTCGTTTCTTCATCAATAACTTGGGTCTGCGGGTCCTGATGAAGTAGGATACCTACACCTCCCCGGGTCCCTTATGATGGGGCCCACACCTGTGGACCTCTCCACCACACTTCGATGTCCGGAATCTTCCCGTCATTGAGTTTTGATTCCTGCAACAGGATGACATTCGCCTTCCATTCGTGTATCCACCCCCTCAGTCTACTTTTCCTTGATCTGCCGTTCGTATCCCCAGTCCTCGTACGTTCCATGAGTCTAGTCTAAGCTTGTTCATCTTCCACTGATGGGCCCGCCTGTTCTTCGATGCGGGTAAGACTCTGTTGAGCTTCTGCCTGTGCAACAACTGTTCCTGAGCTGGATGCCCTCTATCTTGACCTTTGGCTTGACATGCCCCTTGATTAACCAAATCTGGAGGACTGAGACCGCCATTCTTCTGTGAGGCGGTTCACCAAGAAATTTGAGAGGAGGTTTTCTTCATGTAATAATTTCTCGTTAACCTTAAGTAGTACCTGCGCCGAAATGCCTGGCCAGACCCTGATGTAGCCTAGTTCCTGTAGGTTCCTTTCTCTGATCAGATCCACTCGGAAACACCTGACACCTGCTTGAGCTAGAGAGCCTGCAACTTCCGGTGGAATTCCGACATCCAACATCGGGAAGTACATTTTAACATATCCTTGCACTGTCTCCAATATCACACTTTCCATCGGAGTGAATTAGACGCACAAGAACATGTTCGCCGTACAACCGCTTAGTCACCTCAAGGATCTTTGTTGGCGTAGGATAGCAACTCACCACGGAAGAGGGGATCAATGGAGATCCATCCTCACTCACCAGGGACAAGAAGAGGGTGGTGTCATCAATCCGTAAGCATAAGATCGGAACCAAACATCGATGGACCGCCTCCATCTGATTCCTTTCTATAGCCATTGTTCTTTTGCTTTTGTCTACTATCTGCTTTCTTTCCGTCTCTTGTTTAGACCTCGATGTTGTAGAGCTCTCTATCGGGGAAGATGAAGAAGATGCCGACCTCTTTGAGTTCTCTTGCTCCTTTTCAAAATCACCAACTTCACTACCCCACCGGACTCTTGAATATGATGTGATTGATGTCTTGGAGAGTTTTTCCTGCAGTTTTGTCACATTCTCTCTATGTTCCCTCGCTGACCCCCCCTTGTTGCTTCCTCCTCCCTTATGCTCTGGAATTGGAAGGGATCGTTATGCCTCCACATCAGGGAATTCTCTCCTTTGTTTCACATGTTCCCATCTTTCTCCG